CTTTGTGAGGTTTGGGAACTTGCCTGTCACGTTTGCTGCTGGATTCCAAGCAGCTGGAACAGTGCCTGGGCCCTCAATACATATTTGTTGAATAAACAAATGAATAAATCATGAACCCCAAATGTGAATGTGATGACAGATATATATTCATTCTCCAGAAAAAAATTCACTGAAAGTTTTGTACATAACTTTAGGAGGTTTCAGAGCCCTGGAAGCTCATCTACAGACACCTGTTTAAAACCCCTACATTATAGTTATGTTGTTTCATAATGTTCTTTTTGAAATTGATTCTGGTATTTTTTTCTTTGCAATTAAACATGAGCATGAATTTTGAAAGTTTATTTTAGGTGGAATATAACAAATCACAAGCCAATTACTGCTCAATGGCCTTGAATAAAATAGACCCCTCAATATTTATATTAATGGGTCCTAATGACCACATTTTAATGAATTGAAGATGCTTTTGTGATACAAACATTAAATGCTCACCCATATCCAATATTTCCTCCTTTGTGGGACTTGGGAGGATTAACTTTCCAGCTTCCATAGCAGTTGGGCAGAGCCTTATGACTAATTCTAGCCAATGGATTGGAGGGAAAAGTGGCATATGTTACTGAAAGGTTGGAGCATTTAATTGCTGGTGTGAGATCCTCCAGGGCTCTACCTTCCCTTAGAGTAGTGGCTGTGAAAGCACCTGTTGATATGGAAGGGCAGCACCAAGCCATCACATGGAGGATAGCTGCTCTGGAGAGTCACAGAGATCTTTAGCTGACTTTGTTTGAGCAAGCAGTATAAACCTTTTTTTGTTTTAAGTCCCTGAGATTTTCAGATGATCTGTTATTGCAGCATATCTCAACATAATCTAACACACCACTGATTGCTTGGAAAATGTACTGTTACTTTTATATACCATTGAGAAAAAAATATGCCATTTATAATTGTAAGAATTCAATGTAAGATGCATCATAATCTTAGAGATGTTAAAATGTGAAAGGGACTTAGATTAGATAAAATACAGATTGTTAAAGGAATTCATTAAAGCAGATTAGCATAGTATCAAGAGCTCCAAAGCTAGAGTTGGACAGAAAGGTATGGATTCAAATCCCAATACTTACTAGCTTGTGTCTTAGTAACTTGTGTAAGCCTTAGTTCCTCATCTGTGAAATGGGGATAATAGAAGTGACCTCATAGGGTTTTGTTAATATTAAATCCAATAATTCCTTTAATGTGTTCAGCATAGCAATTATTTTACATATTTTAGTCACCATATTTGGTTAGATCACAGAGCTTGTTTAAGATAAACATTAATTTCAAACAACAATACAGGAAAACTTCTTTTTAAGTTTGTTATTATATCATACTAATCATTCTATCTAACTAACTATATTTTTGTACCCTTCCCTACTCTTCCTAGCCTCTGGTTACTATCATCCTACTCTCTGTCTCCATAAGATCAATTGTTTTTAATATTTAGCTCTCACATATGAGTGAGAACACGTGAGATTTATCTTTCTGTAATCAGCTAATATTTATTAATTCCTCACCAGGCATGAGGACTGGGTCTCTGAGTTAAGTGCTCTTGGAGATAACAGTGAAACAGATCTGGAGGTTGAGGGCCCAGGGCGGACCACCCTGGAGTCTTTCCACCTTCTCTCTGTGTTTTCCAGGTGAATCAGGGTGGAATGAACATCAAGCCCAGCCTTGAAGAATAAAAGAAGTCACAAAAATGTATCTGAGGAATGTGTGAAGGATCAGTCCTATACTTATGTTGGTGACTGGTGGGTGTAATAGAGGGAAAATTGAGGACTATTTGTATGCCTGGAACCTTGGGTATGGGGGCTGTGTGTATGGAGAGAGAGAGAGAGAGAGAGAGAGAGAGAGAGAGAGAGAGAGAGGGAGAGAGAGAGAGAGAACATAAGCTTTGGTGGTTGGCGAACATAAGGGTAAGTCACTGTAGCAGAAGTGTGGCTCTTGGAAGATATGTAGATGTATTGTTCCTGCCTATGTAGGGTTACACTTTTATGGATTATGAAGTTATCCAGGGAACATTTTTGACTCATGTCATGTCCGTATTCATAAAGCAGCAACTCTTGTTATAATTGCCTTTATCTATAGTACATTTGAAAAAAAAAAAAACTAAATGTAGAGCCAATAACAAGGTTTAACAGTCATTACTTCTGAAGTTCATTTTGGACTAAAAGTTTTCCTCATATATACTTTATGAGCTTTCATTCTGTCACCAAAGATGAACATCGTGGATTCCAATACAATGCTCTCACCTCAGTTTTCTGGAGGACATATGCTTGTGAAGGAACAGGTGGCTGTTTAATATCATTATTTTTATTAAATGCCTGAACCATCACAATATAAGTCATTTTCTTTAAAGGAAGTATAGCTGCCTCTAAATATAACTCTGGGCTACAGTTTACCTTTTCTGTTTATTTTATTCTTAACTTGTGGAACTGTATTTCAGGAGTATATAACTTATTTTGGAGTATATAACTTACTATTTGATATCTGCTAACAGTAAATCAATTGTAATGATTCTAGCACCAAAGGAACCAGAGGAGACTTAAACGTATTTCTAAAAGACGAAAAGCTTCTTTTTGTATACAGTTTATAGCATATGTATGTTTCCACAGTTTTAGAATATTCAAAAGTCCAAAAAAAGTTTTCTCACTATATTCCTCATTAAAGACCAAGAGGACAAAACAGAGAAAACAATTAACTCCAACCTACGTATTATTTATCAGATGTTTTGAGTGAAATTCAGATTTAAAAACCCAGAGACTCTCTCTTCCTCTCCTCCTCCCAGCAACAGCATTAGGGAGATATTCCCTACTGCAAAACACACCCACACTCATGTGTTATCATTCCAGGAGTGGGGGGAGTGTTGGTGCCAAGAGGTTTGGGCTCCTCTCCGCATCATTGCTGTGCGGGTCCTCATAGGTCTGCTGTGGTCTACTGAGGTCTGCGAGACCCCGCCAGAGGACTTGGGGCTCACAGCCTGGGTGTTCTGGGGGACGCTCTCAGGGACTCCTGGGAAAATCTGAATAGAGACCGCCTGTACCGCAAGGCGCTTCCTAAAACCTCATTAATCTCTCTTCACTCATCAGCGTTCCTGCAAAACGTCCCAGGAATTTTAACTTTTCCTTGGCGCAAGTGTTTTGAGCCGACCCCTTGCAGGCGCAAAGGAAGCTTAGCTCATTCTGGCCTCCTGGTTCGCCCGGGATCTAGGGAGTCACGCAGGGCAGAGTGCGGCTTCCCTTCGCTTCCCCGGGACAAGCAAGAGATGAAAAGGGGAGAGGAGGTGCTCCACTCTCTTGGATACCCTCCCAGATATTTGTAATTTGGCGTTTACAACACAAAATGATGCTGCAATGTAAAATAAGCAACGTGGAGGTGCTCAGCCCTCCTGGGTACACTCCCAGATATTCCTAATTTGACGTGTAAGAAACAAAAACAATGCTAACATGCAAATTAGGCAATGAAATATCCAGAATGAGCCTCGTCTGACAGGCCAAACTGAGATTTTAATGGAAAGCTTACTCATATCCCCACACTGAATTCATTCTATCTTTTAAGTACTTTAGAAAATTGTGTAATTTTAAGTTCCACCACTGTCATAACGAACACTCCACAATAACACGCAGTGGAACAATGGACACCCCCATATCGCATTGTGTCAGGTAATTACGAAGTGTCTCGGCGCGGGAAAGCAAAGCCGGGAACATCAACGTGTCCTCTGCAGCGAGTAGGAGCGTTTGAATCGCTAATCTCACGGAAACCCCATCCAGCAGTTCACACCAGTACCTCAACCCAGGGACAGTGACAGACGCAAGCCGACCTTGGCCCCAGGCGTGGACGGAGAGGGCCAAAGAGGGGACGTGCGAGCGCAGAGGGACCGAGAACCGCTCTGTGGAGGGCAGATGCGAGCAGGGAAATCGTGGGGAGAAAGCGCAACTGGGCAGGGAGGGGAGGATCCCACCCGGGGGTGGCGAGGGTGTCCGGGCTCCCGGAGAGCGGGACCCTACGCGGGACCTTGCGCTCTCAGCAGCACCCACTCAGCTCAACCTTTCGGGCTAAACGCAGGACACCCGGATAACGGTGTTTGCGGGGTCAGGGATAAAGCTGTTACTTTGTAGGAGAGAGAGAGAGAGAGAGAGAGAGAGAGAGAGAGAGAGAGAGAGAGAGAGAGAGAGAGAGAGAGAGAGAGAGAGAGAGAGAGAGAATACTAGAGGTAAAAGAAAGATCGGGGGGCTGAAGGCCGAGATGTCCTACTTCTAAGTGGTTCTTTGAGAGGCAAAAGCTTCCTTGCAAGCGCGGTCTGAGGCCGCGCCACGTTGGGGAGCGGCCGGGCAGGGCGCGGGGACCTCTCCAAGGGGCCTCCAGCCTCCGTGCACTCTGCGGTGGCCCTGGGAGGGGGGCACTCTATCCTGGCCGCTGGGGGAGGGGGGAGGGCTGTGTTTTCCTTCCCCCGAGACCCCAGCGCTGCAACCCGGAGGCGGCGAGCTCAGGCTGCCTTGCCCGGAGGGAGCGGCCCTCTCGCGCCACGACCTCAGGTCCCCGCGCCCTCCCACCGCACAACCTCCTCCCTTCACCCCCATTCATTTTTCCTCAGCAGCTTCTAGGACGGGCTCAAAAGCCAACTCCAACCCCCTCGCCGAGCCCACGTCACGGAGCTAAGGAGAAGGGCTGGGGTTGCAGCGGGCGCCGACGGCCGGGCGCTGTCGCCCAGAGGGGGCGGCCGCGGGGGGCGCCGCGTGCGGACCGTGCCCGCCGCGGATGAACAGGCGGCCGCGGGCGGCCCCCAGAGCCGCGCAGCACCCGCGTACACAGTGACGGTGGAAGCCACGCCCGCTCGGGAGCCGGGGGGCTGTCCTAGCCCCCCCCACCTTGCCTCCTCGCGCCGGCCCCCTCCCGGCCCCCGCGCCCTCCCTGCCCCTCCTCCCCGCGCCGGCCCCCGGCCCGCCCCCGGCTCGGCTCGCGGGAGGCGCTGGGCGCCCGGGCTGGCGCGCTCTCCCGGGCTCACACACCCCGGCGCTCGCACGCCCAGCAGCTCTCTCCGCGCCGGCCCTCGCTCCCCTCGCCCATGCCGACGGACGGAGCGGCGGAAGATGGCTGACGACTCCGCGGGGCCCCGAGGATGCGGGCTGGCGGCGGCGGCGGGAGCGGCGGCGGCAGCGGCGGCGGCAGGGGCAGCGGCAGCAGCGGCGGCGGCGGCGGCGGCGGCGGGCGCAGGAGCAGGAGCGGCGGCCGCGGCATCCCCGAGACTCCCCGAGCTCCCTCTGGCTCTGACAGCCACTGACGTCCTCCGCCGCTAGAAGAGACCCCGCTTCCCGGCGCCCGCCTCCCCCGGCCCGGCGCGGCCCCGCCGGCACCGCTACCTCCGCCAGCCTCGCCACCATCAGCACCACCTCCGCCACCGCCACCGCCACCGCCACCGCCACCGCCGGCGGCGGCAGCAGCCATTTCATCTCCACAGAAACCAGACACAAAAACATGGCAGAAATGGAGAAAGAGGGGAGACCTCCGGAAAATAAAAGGAGCAGGAAGCCGGCTCACCCAGTGAAAAGGGAGATCAACGAGGAAATGAAGGTATTTTTGGACCTCGGGGGCTGGGGGACGGAGCTCTTTCTTCCGCCCGCTCCCCGTGCGCCGTTGTGAGGATCGGGGCACAGGGGCGCGCTTGTCAGTTTCCGTAGGATGCCCAGGACGTCTCGGCTCCCCCTCCAGGTGTAAGGCGGAGGCCAACTCGCGGTCTGCGCCCCCGAAATTCGCCAGCCTCAGATTTGATTGTGGGGGGAAGACCACACTCTGTTTGACCTTACAAACCCCAGGCTGGCACGGGCGCGTGTCAGGGGAGGGCACCGGGGGCCGGGCGGCCTGATGAACAGGCTTTCCTAGCGGGCGGTGTAGTTTTCCCCCTTCTCCGGGAATCAGCCTTCGGGTCCCTCCAAAGTTAGGAGCCGCCCGGCCGAGGCACCCCGGGGAGAGCCCGATGCCACCCTCCTTCCCAGTTCGCCCCCCTGCTCCGCGACCCCGCTTCTCCCCAGGCAGTCCGCGGCAAAGGTGTGAAGAGGCTGTCAGTGCCCTGCGAGTTGCGGCCCGAGAGGCGCAGGTCTGGGTACCGTCCTGCCCGCCCGCCCGCCTCGCCCGCCCCCGCCCGCTCCTCTCCCTGGGCTGCCTCCGCCTCCCGCTCGCCTCTGCGAGCCTCACTTCCCAGTTGAGCAGACCCCCGCAAGCCCGGCTGAAAGAGAGCCGTCCGAGCGCCGGCCTGCGCGGGGCGCCTGCCCATTGTTCAGAAAGGCAAGCCCCGAGTCCTCCCGGCGAAGCCGGGCTCCCCGCCAGCCCAGCGGTGCTCCAGAGGTGGCGAGCGCAGCAGCCTTGCGCTCCAGCTGTTGGTGTTAGCGCCGTTGCACTAGGGCACAGCTCAGCTCCGGACCCCTTTGTCGCCCCCCCCTCTTATTTTCCATGAAGTTGAGGCTTTTGCCTAGGCAAGAGTTTTATTCTGTGTTGATTTTTTGAAAAAATTATTTTATTTATCTATTTTTCTTTTTGTGAGTTACGAAAAAGTAGCAGGTTTGCATTCTGCAGTCTTCTTGATGTTCCCCATCTGCGTAGAATCCTTAATACTGCTAGGTGACTTGGTTAGTTTTGGTTAAGTTTGTATTTAAAAGGCAAATTAGATGAAATGGTGTGCACGTAAGTCAAATTTATTGCACTTTGACGTTTTCTTCATTAGAACAAGCATATTCTATGATAGTGTCTCTTGTGAAGCCCAGGCTTAGAGGGGGACGCATCTATATGTATGTGTACCTAGGTGCATATGTTTAGCTTTGTCTTCCTCCTAGAAATGCCACTGGCAATCTAAGTTTTGGAATTAGGGCTTTTATTTTGGGTGAGGAACTTAGTGCCTGGAAGCATGGTGCAGCATTAGACCAACAGAGAGTTAAGGAAATCAATGTCATTTGTTGTGATGGAAACTACCACTGATTCCAATGATAGGTGTTTTTTTTTGTTTTTGTTTTTTTTTAAGATGAGAAGTTATTGTCTTTTGAGATGGGGGTGGAATTCAAATAACTATTCTTCCTCACTTACTCTTCCCTCCCATCCTGCGTTTCCAGATTACTTTTCCATTTCATTTTAGATTCAGGGTGGGGGAAGGGGAGAGAGGTGAAGGCCACTAGGAAATCATAGTGTGCTCTGGCCCTTTAAAATGCTGCCTAATGTGATCTATATGGATGGCAGCTTTTAAGTTTCATAGGTTCTAGAATTACAAATTAGCTAATTTTAATCAAAACATGTGAAATGTTATCCCGGCTGGATATAAAGGCTGACTGTGCTCTATGCTTGGGGCTCACGTTGTTGACTTTGGCTGCAGGCGCACTCCGTGGTTTGGGAGATAGTTGTCCTTCTACAGTATAACAGATGTTTGTCTGAACTGGTGAGGAAGAAACAAAAACAACATTGTGTGAAGGGGAAAAATTACACAATTTTAGCCGATGCTGCAGGACTAAGTATGAAATTAACCTTGGTGCACAGAATTTCCTCTTTTGAAAATGTTATTTTTCTTCCAAATCACTACCTACTATTAGAAGTTTTAATCCTCATCGTTTCAATCCAGAGTAGCATTAAATAAGAAGTTTTATGAAGCAAATAATTCAATTGGTTATAGGATCAGTATTTTCTCTCCAATTTGGAACAATGTGAAGACCCCTGAAGGAAATTTTCAGTCATGTTCACTCACACCATGCCAGTAGGCCTAGTGGAATTGTTTAGTAGGCATTCCTCAATATAATAGCACCAAAAGTCATCATTTAAAAAGTGGATTCTCAAAGTCAAAACATGGAAAGGTTATTTTTAACTCATTAATATTTTTCTGCTTTTAATATTAATAATCACATCAACAAGACCCCTCCCCAAACCTCATGATATTATTACCCCTCCAGCTCCCTGAACCTGAAGTATAGAGTAACATAACAAGTTGGTTGCCCTGTATAAAAATGTGTGCAACAAAATGTCACCGAGAACACAATGTGGCCTTGTGCAGCTTCATATCGGTGCCGCTGGAGCTGCCTGGCTGTGTTTGCCTTCATCTGAACGGCTTTCATCTGGACCAGTGTAAACTAAGCCCTGGTAAGTAATCACTGCCCAGCAGAAAGAAAGGAATGTATACAGCTAGCGTGGCCTAAGCTGTAAAAACGGAAACCTGAGCCCCCACCTCGGATCACATATCAAGGCTTGAAGGTAGGGGAAATGAAAGGGGGAAAGAGGAGAGAGCAAATGGAAAAGTCAGTCTGGGAAGTGGAGGGTCAGGAGGAGGCCCCCCTTAGGGAGATTTGGCTCAGGGATTAGGGAATTTTATCGTGGTGTACAGTGACCTACTCAGGTTTCAACACTGGTTGGATTGAGTTGCTTCTCTGTGAGCTGAAAGAAAAAGGACTGGTGTGTATGTGATTTTTTTTCCCCTTCGGGTAATAGAAAGGACATTGGTACAAGTGTCTATTTTAAGTACAGCAAATGCAGGGCACTGAGAATGAGCAACAAAATTGCCTCATCACAGAGACTTCCTTCAAGATTTCCTAACTGAGATAGTCACATATTTATTTAAAAATGGAGAAGACAAACTGGCTGAGGTTTAGCTGACACCAGTAATGGCATTGGAGATTGTCTTCATGTGGCTAAGAGCTAATGTTGGTTGCTGTTTCACTAGATCAGATATTGAGTTACATTTTCGTTATCACTGGTTTAATGTACATGGAAGTTGTAACAAATTTAAATTTGATACAATATAATTTTGTGTGTGAAAAGTACATGACTTGGCATAGCTTGCTTATAGTGTACTTCAGTGAAAATATCTTCAAGAAGAAATATTTGGCTCACTATGACCTTTACAATGTTTTTTTTTTTTTTTAATCTTTTCTTCTTCCTTTATTCTGTTTTTTTCCTGATTAAAAAGACTGGTTATCTTACTGTACTTAGAATTAGTATGCCATATTTAATTAGTGACTAATAGGATTTTAAAAAATCTGACAGCAGTGCAATTTATATTTGGACTGTGTTTGGTTTCTCAAGTAAATATTGTGATTGTATCTAATGTAATATTTCTCTTATATACTGTTAGCTAACATATTTCATAATAAATGAATGTCAGGAGGGGCTTCTGACTTATGGAAGGGTTAAGTAGCTTCAGTAGTTCATCATGAACATGGTAGATACAATATAAAAACCAGTTTGTACTAGTAGATGTGTAAGTGTAAATATTTGTGTAAGGGAAATATTGTTACATTAGAGGATATATATTTTGTGCACACAGATCTTTTGTGATCAGTAACTACCGAACAATAATACAACTAAATAAATCTAAACTATGAGTAGAGATAATGAATCAGATTTTTATCTTTTAGAACGCTTTAACAAAACCAATGTGATTAGATCAAGCACTCCATCCTGGAAACTTTCCTAAACAAACCATAATTAATGCACTTACAATGTTTGACTTCTTTATCAATTGCTAAACTACAGGATAATCTGTTTTAAATGTCATAGGGTCTCTGCTGAAGAAGTTTTCTGTCTATAAATATTCTTAGTAAGTAAGTTGTACCTAAAATTATGCTTCAGTCCTGATGCCTACAGTTTGAGTCAGGCACATCTGTTAGAGTTTAATAGTAACCCTACCACAAGATTTTCTAGTTTGGTTTCTGATGATTTTGATTTGGTATTAAAAATGACCTGTGTCAATAGCGTAGACAGTAAAGCAAGTTGTGGAGCTGAGCTGGTGAGATAAATAGCTTGACATTAAAAAAAAGTTGGGGGAGGAGAGAAAGGAATCACAGTGTGGATTGGAAAAGTCAGCATGTTTAAGGTTGAAATCAGTTCATTACTAAAACAGGTATACTTTAAGTTTTGCTGCTGAAACTCTATCCTGGTGTCAGAAGCAGTAAGTCTAAGGAACTTAGAAAGTGGCCTTGGGACCAGACCCTGCTGTGTTATTCACAAATTATGTCAGACCTCCTCTGCTGAGCTGTGGCCTCAGGTGTGCCACGTGGCAGTCTGGGGCCTAATGTCAGTGGAGACATAGCCCTTGCCCCTTGGGAGCAGGTATAGGATGTTCCTGAGACCTTGGCTTTGCTTTCAGTTGTCCTTCTCAAGGCTCCAGGCTAACCCCATGGGTCCTGAGAGGGTGTGCAGAGCTATGCATTATGCTGTGTTCAGATGAGGAAGTAACGGGGGGTGTTTCTGGGAAGAGTCTCTTTCTCCATCTGTGAACTGGTATGATGTGTGGTAGGCGCCATTCTCTAAGCCTTATACAACTCGCAGGTTCCAGAGACGAGGAAATGGAAAGGAACCACTCCACTTCCTCCCGAATCTGAAATAAACATTTGAACTAGAAGAAAATGAGTCTGACAGACTCATTCCCTTCTGCGTTTCCTGCCTCTGTGCTTGCCAAGCACTGCTCTGAGAAGCCAAGCCTTACTCTCCTTGTGTGAAAGACAGACTTATAGAAACCAAGAGGTAACAGAATTTTTAAAGCAAAGTCAAAAACAGGACCTCAGAAAAGGGCAACTATGAGTGAGCACAAGTGGCTGTTTAAA